AATTATGGAAAGCACTGGAGGATAAATTTTTGAAGAAAAACAGTCAAAATAAATTGTACATGAAGAAGAGACTGTTTCACTTCACCTATGTTCCTGGTACCACGATGAATGAACATATCACCAGTTTCAATAAGTTGGTCACAGATTTGCAAAATATGGATACAACTTATGATGATGGTGACTTGGCCTTAATGTTGTTGGCGTCACTTCCTGATGAGTACGAGCACCTTGAAACTACTCTACTCCATGGAAATGACGAAATTTCTCTCAGAGAAGTTTGTTCGGCTTTGTACAGCTATGAACAAAGAAAGCGAGAAAAACAGAAGGGCGGAGAAGGAGAAGCACTATTTGTGAGGGGTCGTCCTCAAAATCAAACGAGGACAAAGAAGGGAAGATCCAAGTCAAGATCCAGACCCAGCAAAGATGAATGTGCCTTTTGTCGAGAAAAAGGGCACTGGAAGAAAGACTGTCCGAAGTTGAAGAATAAGGCCAAACATAACAATGGAAAGGCCATTATGGATTCAAATGTAGCTGATTGTGATGATTCAGACTTCTCATTAGTTACAACAGAGTCATCAACATCATCAGACATATGGTTGATGGACTCGGCTTGTAGCTATCATATGTGTCCCAACAGGGACTGGTTCGTGGAATTTCAAGAAGGAGAATATGGAGTCATCCACACAGCGGATAACAGCCCTCTTACCTCATATGGCATTGGTTCAATACGATTAAGGAACCATGATGGAATGATCAGAACATTGATAGATGTTCGATATGTACCGGATTTGAAGAAGAATCTCATCTCTGTGGGAGCCCTAGAATCAAAAGGGTTCAAAATCATTGCAGAAAATGGAGTGATGAGAGTATGCTCCGGTGCACTAGTGGTAATGAAGGCTAATCGGAAGAATAATAATATGTACCGCTATCGTGGCAGTACAGTTATTGGGACAGCGACAGTAACATCCAGTGACGACAAAGAGGCAGAAGCAACCAAGCTATGGCACATGCGCTTGGGACATGCTGGAGGAAAATCCTTGAAAACTCTATCAGATCAAGGATTGTTAAAAGGAGTAAAGGCTTGCAACTTGGAGTTTTGTGAGCATTGTGTTAAAGGGAAACAGACAAGGGTTAAATTTGGTACAGCGATCCATAATACTAAAGGCATTTTGGATTATGTACACTCTGATGTTTGGGGTCCTTCCAAAACACCTTCATTGGGTGGGAAGCACTATTTTGTAACCTTTGTTGATGATTTTTCCCGAAGAGTATGGGTGTATACAATGAAGAGCAAAGATGAAGTGTTGGGAATTTTTCTCAAATGGAAGACGATGGTGGAGAATCAGACAGGCAGGAGGATCAAGTGTATTCGCACAGACAATGGAGGTGAATACAAAAATGATCATTTCAATAAGGTCTGTGAAAATGATGGCATCGTCCGACACTTCACTGTTAGACATACACCACAACAGAATGGAGTGGCAGAACGTATGAACCGGACCTTGCTGGAGAAGGTACGGTGTATGTTGTCCAATGCTGGCTTGGGCAAAGAATTTTGGGCTGAGGCAATTACATATGCATGCCACCTCATTAATCGTCTACCATCTGCTGCTATTGATGGCAAAACACCATTTGAAAAATGGTACGGAAAACCTGCTGTAGATTATAACTCTTTGCACGTGTTTGGCTCAACTGCATATTATCATGTGACGGAGTCAAAATTGGATCCAAGGGCAAAGAAGGCTATTTTTATGGGAATTACTTCTGGAGTCAAAGGATATCGCTTATGGTGTCCTATGACAAAGAAAGTAATATTCAGCAGAGATGTTACCTTTGATGAATTTGCTATGGTAAATAAGGTAACAGAAGATACCAAACAAAATGAAGGTGCTTCTAAGCAGGTGGAGTTTGAGGGAAAATTTATTTTTCCTACACAAGAAGCAGAGGAGGAAACAAATGAAGATTACCCTCTGGAAGGAGAGCCAGTAGAGGAGATTCCAACTCAGGAATCTCAACAACAACTTGAATCAATAGCAACCAGCAGGCCAAAAAGAACAATAACGAAACCTGTTCGTCTCATAGAGACGGTTGCTTGTGCAACCTCAATTGTAGCTGATGATGTTCCTACTACTTATAAAGACGCTGTCCAAAGTTCAGAAGAAGATAAGTGGAGGATTGCCATGAATGATGAAATACAGTCCCTTCATCAGAATCATACATGGAGATTGGCCAATCTCCCGAAGGGAAAGAAAGCAATTGGGTGCAAATGGGTATTTGCAAAGAAGGAAGGATTTCCTAACCAAGTAGATGTTCGCTACAAAGCAAGATTGGTGGCCAAAGGATATGCTCAAAAGGAGGGAATTGATTACAATGAAGTGTTTTCTCCAGTTGTAAAACATTCCTCCATTAGAATTATGTTGGCTTTGGTAGCACAATTGGATTTGGAACTAGTTCAGATGGATGTAAAAACTGCGTTTTTACATGGAAACTTGGAGGAGGAAATCTACATGACTCAGCCAGAAGGATTCAAAGTTGCTGGAAAAGAAAATATGGTGTGCAAACTTGAAAAATCGTTGTACGGATTGAAACAATCTTCTAGACAATGGTACAAGCGATTTGACGAGTTTATGTTGCGGCAAGGGTACAAGAGAAGCAAATACGATCATTGTGTGTATTTGCACAAGCTTAAAGATGGTTCCTTTGTATATCTTCTCCTATATGTTGATGATATGTTGATAGCTTCCAAGAATTCGGAAGAAATTGATAAGTTGAAGATTCAACTGAAGAAGGAGTTCGAGATGAAGGATTTGGGTGAGGCAAAGAAAATTCTTGGCATGGAGATAATTAGAGATAGACGTTCAAAGAAACTCTGTTTATCTCAAAAGGAATATTTGAAGAGAGTACTTCAACGTTTTGGCATAGATGACAAGACTAAGCCAGTTAGTACTCCACTTGCTTCCCATTTTAAGCTAAGTACTACTATGTCGCCAATGGATGAAGCTGAACGAGAGTATATGTCAAAGGTACCATACGCAAATGCTGTTGGTAGCTTGATGTATGCAATGGTTTGCACAAGGCCTGACATTTCACAAGCTGTTGGAGTTATTAGCAGATATATGCACAATCCAGGGAAGGAGCATTGGCAAGCTGTGAAGTGGATTCTACGGTATATTCATAATACTGTAGATGTCGGGTTAGTTTTTGAGCAGGAAGACAATCAGTCTGTAGTTGGATATTGTGACTCAGATTTTGCGGGTGATATGGACAAACGAAGATCAACTACTGGTTATGTGTTTACTTTTGCAAAGGCACCAGTTAGTTGGAAGTCTACTTTGCAGTCAACAGTTGCTTTGTCTACAACAGAGGCAGAGTACATGGCTATTACAGATGCTGTGAAAGAGGCAATTTGGCTTCAAGGATTGCTAAAGGAGCTTGGTGTTGAACAAAAAGGTATCACAATTTTTTGTGATAGTCAAAGTGCTATTCAATTAGCGAAGAACCAAGTTTATCATGCAAGGACGAAGCACATTGATGTTCGGTATCATTTCGTACGAGAAATCATAGAAGAAGGTGGAGTCACGGTGAAGAAAATTCATACTACAGAGAATCCTGCTGATATGCTGACAAAGGTGGTGACTGCGGTCAAGTTTCAACATTGTTTGGATTTGATCAACATTGTTGAACACTGAAGATTGAAGATGAAGACACAACCAAAATTTGTTATTGAGAGAGAATTGAAAATGTGGAATTTTGCCAAGGTGGAGATTTGTTGAAGTTTGGCAAAATGCCAAAGTCCCACATTGGTTGGGAGTTAAGTTTGGGGGGGATTTTTCCCCTATAAAAGAAGGCCTAATGTTTAGGATTGAAACACACCTCTCATTTGCCTTCTCATCTGTTTAAGGCATTTGTATCTTCTCTCTTTAGTATTATTTCACTTGTATTTTTGGAGTGGAATAAAATATTGGTTGTGTCCGAGGAGTAGGCAAAATTAGCCGAACCTCGTAAATTCTGGTGTTCCCTTTATTATTGTTTTATTGTCTTATTTATTATTTGGTGGCTGTCATAATTTTTGGTATAGTAGTTGTGACTTATTCACACTATATACATTTGGCTTCCGCAACAGAGGGTACTGTGTACGCAGTGCAGGACTGATCAGTTGCTTACATAGTGGAAAGATATTCTAATCTTTGACTTTTTCATTTTTCTTGTTCTTTTTCTCTTCATTCAGAAACCTAAATTCAGAGCTGAAATTTTCTGTAACAATTGCAAAATATCAGAAAATTGCCCCAAATGATTTAGCCGTCTAATCCTGCTAAGCTGAAACTTGGCTCTGGTGCTGCAAAATATATGCAGCTTTGCATTATCAGAGACCAACTCTTATGGATATTAAGAGAACTCTTCTTTTTTTTCATTCTGGTCGAAACTCCATTCCTTGACCAATGCCACTACCTTCTCCTCTATGCCTATACCCTATAAATCGCGCTTCAACTTCTCCATCCTCTCCTGTCTCATTGAAGAAGTTCCGCTCCATCCATCAATCTCTTCGTATGGGGTGGCTTCTCACTAGGTCCTTCTTTGACTGAAACACTCACAACACTAGCTTGTTTCTTTGCTTCATTTATATATAGTCTCACAATTAACAAACCTAACATATGCATTAGCAGTATCAAGGTTATAAAACCCATCTCCAAATTTGAACACTAGATAAGCAACATATTTGGTTCTTTTCGACAGTACTTGAGTTTCAATCTTGCCTCGGATATCATTTTGAGAAAAACATTTCTGAGAAAAGCACTTCTTAAAATAAGCTGATGTTAGAAGCTTGGCCAAATAGGCTATTAAGAAAAGCAATTGAAGAATATAAACACAGGTATACTCTTACTCATTATGAAAACTTTTTTCCTCTATAATAGCAGTCTACTCGTTCTTCACAACTGTCTTCCTCTACCTCTTTCAAATTGTTCTATTTGCTTAGGCCAACATTGGAAGAAAAGAGTTGATTGAAACAGAATGCAGAAATTGATAATCCAAATAGATGGCATATTTCATTTATAATCATCACAATCAAATAAGGTTTGTATATGCATCAACTCACTCTGCTATTATTGAAACAACTAGGCATGGATAAGCTCGACGAGAAGGGCACATATAAAGATATGATTATTATTCCTCCTCCTCCTCCTCCTCTGCTTCTTCCTCTTCTCTGCTTCTGCTGGGGAATTATTCGGCGGGTTATATCAACATAACATAAGAAAAGAAGATATTTCGAATTTTTTGTTGATCAGGCACCCGGATTTGAACTGGGGAAAAAAGGATTTGTAGTCCTCTGCCCTACCACTCGGCCATGTCGCCAAAATGCTACATCATCATCTTCTTCTTCTTCTTCCTCTTCTTCGTCTTCTTCCTCTTCCGGACGAAACTCCATTCCTTGAACAACGAGGCCAGATTTTCCACCGAGATGTCTAATCTCCATTAATCGAGCTTCAACATCTCCATCTTCTCCTATATGATTGAAAAAGGTTCCCACTTCAATTTCCATCCAACCATCAATTCTTCTCTTTGGTCGCTTCTTACCCGGTTCTTCTCGTCTTGAAAGGCTCGTAATACTAGCTCGTTCCTCAGCTTCATGTTTAGTCTCACAGCCAACAAGTCTAACATATGCATTAACAGTTTCAAGGCCATAAAATCTGTTTGCCAATTTGAATACTAGATAAGCAGCATATTTGTTTTTTTTCGACAATATTCGAGTTTCAATTTTGCCTCGGATATCAAGCCAAGAAACCCATATGAGTTTAGCCACTTCTGAGAATCTACAAAAAAATTTACCTTGCTCAGGATTTTATATATCTAATAAAATTTAATTTCTTTCTTAATTTTAGTCATGTAAGGAACCGAGAAAATATAAAACCTGGAGTCTGGGTGAGGTAACCATTCCCAATACTGTGGTGTATCACCCCATGTAATAGCAAGTTCCCTTGCTGCCACCATAAAACATTTTTTCCCAGTCTTCTTATCCAGTGAAAAACTCTATTTGACATATCAAATCGACACTTAACAATATCACATAGAAATCACCAAGTTCATCGATTAACAATCCGGCAAAATCTGAGACCAATTATACATTTTAATCAATTGCATAGTACTGGCTGTACTAAATTGGAGTTGTTTCCGATAACTGAGTAATTTTCAAGGGTCAACTAAAACACGAGTTTGAAACTAGGTAGATTAATGGGCTCGCTCCTCTACCTTTCTCCATTTATAAACCAAGTTTTTTTTTTCCTGAAATTAGCACGGGCTAGCCAGTTTTCGGACTGATAATTAAAAAAATTCCAGCAAAATATGCTGGATTATGGAGCTCATGTGTATAAACTTCCAGCATATTATGTTGGAACTCCAGTACATTATGAAAATCCAGCACTTATACGTAAAAAATTCGAACTACAATTTTTCCGAATTTTAAGGTTTTTTTTGTTCATATTTTATTTTTACATTAAAAATACCTAAATTTTGATTACTTTTGAAATTGTGGCTATTTTTCAAGGGATCTTTACATAAATAGCCGTTCATATTCATTGCTTACTTTTTCTAGCCATATACATAGATTATATATTGTTTATACACAAATACACATATAATACATAATTATGCATATATTATACCTCCACAGACTATTTTTAATTTAAGCGATTAGATGGGCTGTTATTTGGGTTAATTCTTCATTTTTCGTAAAAATAGCACGGGCTAGCCAATTTTCGGACTGGTCATTCAAAAATAGTCAGCGTTTGCAAAATCATTGAAAAATAGTCACTATTTTGTTGCAACACGGAAAGTCCAGCATAATATACTGGAGATTGATGCACATGTGTATGAATTTTCAGCATATTATGTTGGAACTCTAACACGCGGAAAGTTTTAGTATATTATGCTGGACCGGTATACTTATGCTGGAACTCCAATATAACATATTGGAGTTTTAGTATATTATATTGGAGTATTTTTCCAGATTTTAAACAGTGTTTTCGTTCAGATTTATCTTTACATGAAAAGTGGCTAAATTTCAGTTACTTTTGAAACTGTGACTATTTTTAAATGATCACTTGTAAATTTGACTATTTTTTAATTTCTCCTTCATTTTTCAATTACCAATTGTAAATCGACTATTTCTGATTTTGTTTCCCAGATTTTGTGTTTGACAATTTCGAGCCCAATAACACATCACTTGTCACGCTCTTACGACTGAACCAAAGGCTAAATCAGATTTCAATTACTCAGCTATTCAAAACACATTCTTTTCATGAAAAACAGAGCAAGCAAAACACAAAAAGACGAAGAAAAAAAAGAAAAAGACCCAAAGGTTAGATAGAAACGAAGAAATCCTACCAGTTTGCCGCCATCAATGAGAATTGGGGAGTCACAAAGACTAAAATAAAGCTCTTTTTTGGAAGGAGAAACCAAGAGTGAGTCTGATTTAGAGATAATATGTTGATAATCAGAGGGCAAAAATTTCTCCCAAACGACGTCGGATTCAGCAGCAGACTTGAATCCTCGTGAGATAGCTGAGGAAGTAGCAGCATCTTTGGGAGAAGTGAAGGACAGAATTTCCGATATGCAACCTTCTGGCAATAAACTAAAATAATCCATTCGCAAAACTTAATTGATTAAAGTTGCTAAATTTGAATTGTCTATCTATAGAAAAAAAAAATGCAAGCTTAGGAAATAAGCTTCTTTGATGGATAACTAAGTGAAAGTCTTCCTCAGAAACTTCTACTTAACAACCTAAGAAAGTGACACTGTAGCTCCCGTTTGGCCATCAATTTTGGGTTTACTTTTTTAAAAAAAATTGGAGAACATTATTTATGAGATATGATCATGTTTTGAAAAAAGAATTCAAAAATTTCCAACTTTCCATAAACGTTTAACGCAATTTTTGAGTAAAAATATCTCTTCAAAACTTAAGTTTTCTTCAAATAAATACATATCCAACACACAACTTCAATTTTCAAAAATTATTTTTCAACACAGCTTCAAAAACTCGTTTTTTAAGTTTCAATCAAACCTATATTCAAACGCTTGCACATTAGTATCAAATACTCCCTCCGTTTTATTATGTGAACCCATTTGACGGGCGCGGGTTTAAGAAAAAAAAGATGACTTTTAAATTTGTGGTGTAAAATGAGGCACATATATATTTTGTGTGGCTATAAATCATTACACAAAAATAAATTGATTTCAAACAGAGAAAGAGGTCATTCTTTTTGGCACGGACTATAAAGGAAATATGTTCACATAAATTAAAATAGAGGAAGTATTTAAATAAATAAAAATTAAAACTCAATAATAGTCATACTCCCTCCTTCCCATTTATGCATACCATGTACTTTGACTGGATATGAAATTTAAGAAAGAAAGAATTTTGAAACTTGTAATTTAAAATAAACCATAAATATGTAAAACTATAAATTGTTATGAAAATAATTATATTGTGGATGTTCATTTAATACTCCGCTATAGATAATCTTCCTGAAGAAGATTATCCAGTTAGTACTCCATTGAAGTTTATTTACAAGCAGCTGATGCAGGCAGGTTGCAAGCAACTGAATGAAATGATTTACAACAGCTTCTTATTAAATAGACAGGTTGCAAGCAGCTCATGCAGACAGCTGACAAGTAGCTGAAGAAAAGCCTCGCAGCTGCTTCTTTTCTTCTATAAATAGAGGAGTTTTCAGTTCATTATGTACATCAGTTTGAAAGTTGAATAATATATCAACCTCTCTCTCTACTTCTCCTCGGTTTCTTTACTTTAAAGTCTTTATTTTATAACACGTTATCAGCACGAGACTCTATCATCTCCAACAAATACTTTGAAATATCAAAGGTATGAACTTTCTTTTTGTAAATAATGTCAAATCTTTCTAAACGTGAATTTGTAGTATTGGATATATCGGGCAAAAGCTACGTGTCTTGGGTGTTTGATGCTGAAATTCATCTTGATATGATGGGTCTAGCAGACACCATCAAAGATAAGTTATGCGTTTTACTTGCTATGTATGCTACTGCCATTAAAATAAAATTAAAAAGGTACTTAGGAACCTAGTAAGTGAGCCATAATTATTGGACAAGATTCTGGAGCATTTTATGAATTTTAAAACACTATAATTTGTATATCTTTATGTTTCATTTTTCACTTATTCATTTTCGAATTAAGATTTTAATTTTACTCCAGAAGAGTAATATTGCATAGGAAACTATAAAGTGGATGACATTGTTAGATCCACTTATACTCCAGCAGAGTTTGCAAGAAATATACAACCACCAGAAGTGGTCATGTTTCGTATATCTCATTGTAACTAAATTTTTGTTAACCACCAGAAGTGGTATATACCTATGGCCACCAGAAGTCATAATTTAGGCTTTCTATGGTTACAATTGAAGATAAGCTAGAGAAATATTCTCTATAGTACATGCATACCTCGGTTTGCTCCTGAAGTAGCATTATCGTAAAAGAGCTTCTAAGACATCACACAATTTGTGTGATTAATGCGCGTTCAGATAATTATGTTCCGTTCCCTGAAGGATGAGAACTTTTGATAAACATTAATCCATTTCCTGAAGTGGATGTGACAATATTAATAAAGCTCGTAAATATGAGCGCGCTATTAATGTAAATATATTACGATTCACCTCCAGAAAAGGTAATATGATTGAGGGAATATATACTCAATATTTTGTATTTTAAGTTTGCTCATGAAGAAGTAAAACAATTGAATTTTTCTCCTGAAGCAAGAAAATATTTTGAAAGTGTGTCTTTCTGTGCTTAAACAAAATTATAAGCTATTCAAAGTTATTTTTGAAGTACATTTTCATTCCCTAGAGTGAATGAAGAAATAGCACAACTCACCTCATGAAGAGGTAGAATAACAAAGGATATAAATATTATTTTTGTGGTATAAAGATCATTGTCGCACGTGCCTGTTATACGTAAAACATCTTGGATAATTTTATTAAGTATCATTCTAAGGCAAAAGCATTCTTGTAGAATGTTTTCTGCTACAACCACATTAATATATTATGGTTAGTTATCGAGTTCCCCGAAGGAAATAACAACTCGTATATCTATCCCTGAAGGATGTAATGACTATGTGACTACCGCTTTGATATAAAATATTCAGATATTAATGACGTTTCTCCCTGGAGGAGACATTTTTCACAAAATTGGTGAACTGTCTGAGCAATATTTGGCAGTACAAAATATCAAAAGCTCCTGAAGAGCTAATTATTTGTCGAGAAGACATATGACACTAGTAGTGTCCGATAAATATTAGATTGCGGATAATGAATGAAGGCTTTTGAAGAGCTTATATACAAATATGTCATTCATATTATATGATAAGTCAAAATATATGTTGTAGTAAATTTGAAGTTTACTAATACAAATGACAATCATACTGAGACTACAAATGATAGAAAGATTGAAAATCTTCATGTTTTCACAATCATAGGGGGTAAATATGTATGTGAGAAGTTACCCGCCTTATTCTTCAATTTGTACTATATCATGTATCACAGCAAACCAGAAGTTTACTAATGCTAAAGCAGCTATAGTAAATCAGAAATTTACTTATACAAAAGTAGCCACAGTAAACCAGAAGTCTACTAATGCAAAAGTTTATGCCATAGTAAACCAGAAGTTTACTAAGAGATAACACATGTCATGATAAACTTGAAGTTTTCATTTGTCATTTTTAAATGAGCTATTTGAGAATTCAGATAAGCATATACTGAAGAACTAGAAGATTCTTCAAGAATTCTCATGTGTTACTTATTCTCATAATAAATTGATTCTACCAACTAAAGTTGGGATTAAGACCCCTGGTTCTGAAATATATAAAAGGTGAATATAGGCCCATCACCTGTCATGTGAACCACTTATAGATGCATATATAAGATGGTTACATGTATGTTTATTATCAACCTGCAGTTTGGCATTTGAAATTGCTTTTCTCAATTAAGAGCATAACTTTCAGATTATGAAATCAAGACAGTTCATCTTGATAATGCGGGTTTATATCCAAGCTGGTTTAGCAATGAATATCTCCTACTAATGACTAAACTATTGCTTATGAGAACAAAGCTTCATGTGTCGGTCTAAGATATTCTAAATTGCATACAACAACACTTGTATGCATCAGATCAACAATATATGATAAGTCCTCCTCTCACAATTGGTTTAGGATCAGAAACTAAATATTTTTACTATCTTTTGATGCGTGGTATGTGATTAATTTCTCTACCACAATGCACAAAGATATGTTTCCCAAAGAAGATTGGGAATATATGTTAGTTTTCTAGCATTTGGGGGATGTAATAAACAGCTGAAAAATATGCTATATGAATCGAATTATTATCAATATGATCCTCACTTAGAAGATAATTCAAGTAAAATGCCAGAAGCATTTGCTGATCCAAAATTAAATATCATATTTCAGCTACAAATACTCCTATTAAAATTAAAGTCCCTGAAGGATAGAGTTTACTGTACGCATGAAGCGTGGTAGACCAATCGGTTCCAAAGGTAACAATCCTTGAAAAACGATAAGGAGCCAATGATCATAATGAGGAGGAAATGAGCTTTAGAAGAGGTCACGACATAACATTTCATGAAACTCCAGAAGAAGTTTAGGTACCTGAATATAAAGAAAGTGATGAGATCGCAACAAGTTATGTTGCTTGCGAACCGATACAAAATGATCGTCGACGATATATTTGATACAATATAGTGCATAATACTGTGAAATATTGTGAGGATCAGACCAGTAGTCCAGACACCTGAAGATATCATGCCATTTAAATGCGAGTCATAACCTATATGACTCATTTGATCAAATCTCTATAAAGATCCCTAAATGATTTAAAATGCCTGAAGCATATTCAAAATCTCTGGAAATGTACTCAATCAGATTACAAAGATCTTTGTACGGTTTAAAGAAATCTGGGCATAGGTATTATCACCTCAGTGAATATTTGCTGAAAGAAAGTTACATAAGTGATGTTATTTGTCCATGTATTTTTATAAAGAAAACGACATCAGAATTTACTATACTTGCTGTTTATGTTGATTACATAAATCTTGTTGGAACTCCAGAAGAGCTCCAAAAGGTAATTGCATATCTTAAGAAAGAATTTGAGATGAAAGATCTTGAGAAGATAAAACTTTGTCTTGGTCTGCAAATTGAGTATTTAGCAGGTGAGCTCTTTATCCATCAATTTGCCTATATATCAAGGGTCTTAAAATGCTTTTACATAGACAAAGCACACCCATTGAGTACACCAATGGTTGTTCGATCACATGAAATGGATAAGGATTTGTTCCGACCTCCAGAAGAGGATGAGGAACTCCTTGGTCCCGAAGTACCCTATCTCAGTGCAATTGGTGCACTAATGTATCTTGTTAATGCTACAAGGCCTGACATAGCATTTTCTGTTAATTTACTAGCAAGATATAGTTCTTCTCCTACACGGATTAAGGATCCGTTCTTACCTCCAGAAGAGAATGATGAACTCCTTGGTCCAGATATACCCAAGTCTCTGCACTGTACTCTTTTCCCTTGCTCGGGTTTTTTCCCACTAGGTTTCCTGGTAAGGTTTTTAACGAGGTAGCTTGCAATGTATATTATTAGTGTACTCTA